AGTGGGCATGGGAAGAGGCAGCTGGAGGAGTTTGTTATGGGATAGAGCCTTCTGGCTTGGAGTCTCTCCAGGTCTTGGCAGCAGCATTTCCTTTCTGCTTGGGTGCAGCTGCTCCCTCCTGCCCCAGCAGCACCAGGAAACCACATGTTCCCTGCCTGCACTTTTTTTTTAACTCCACATTTTTTTCCATAAGACGCTGCCAGCATCTAGGGATCGTAAAAAGTTCACTCATGTCACAAATGAATGCTAATTCTTCCGGGGCTAGTGGGCAAAAGTTGTTTGCAGTTTCCTTGGGCTTTGACCTTTTGTTTTGACCATGGCAGAGGCAGGGAGAACTGCAATCCATCAAATCCATGGCTCCTCTTTGACAGATAGTTGGGGGGGGCCTTCTTCCAGCTAAACCAAAATGAACCCAGGAGAGGGATTTAGAAAAATTCAGATGGACTTTGCAATAGATGCTTTTTTTTAAAAAAAAGGTCAGATTCATCCCTAGTGTAACTGCTTAATTAGAATTTGCAGCACAGTTACAGCCAAGGTGCAGCTGGCCTTACAGACTACGTTGGGGCCAAAATGTTCATATCCCTCAGAAAAACAGGCAGGGGCTGCAGTAGTGGGCTGGTGCCCCAAGCACCCACTTGGGCACAAAAATGGTAGCTGCCACACCAACCATCTCAGCCAGCCCAGCCCTTGCCAGCAGCTTCGCCACTTAGGGCACAGACCCAGGTTTTACATCTCTGAGGCACTGCACAGCTATTGTGTAGCAGAGCAACCAGTATTAGGCCCTGTCCTGTAGTCTGTGCACTCAGATAGAGGCAGCTGCCTGTCCCCCTCCCCTTTGCCATTTTTGTGGATGCAGTATTGAACAAAAGGGACATTTATTCTTGTAAACCTTCCAGCCTGCCCCAGTGCAAAGAGGTTATAAAGAATCTCATTTTCTTTGGTCTGTCCCCCAAAGCACAGGTTATCCACTGACTGAGATTTTACAGATTTCTGGTCACTCTTTGAGCAATGATGTGCTGGAGCAGTGAGCGAGCCAGGCAGTTCCACTTCAGCCTTGTCCCTTCTTCACAGCCAAAGCAAGTGCTTGTTGAGAGAAGAGAATATTTGGGGACTGTAGAGCTACTGAGGATGGGAAGGATGGATGTGTCTCATGATGCATGGGAAAAGCGCCTGCCTAAGAGCTGGTTGCATTTGTCACTGGTCAATTTTAGGAATTCTGAAGACCCTAAGCTTTTGTGCCTCAGGGGAGGAAACCAGTAAAGGAGCTTGCCTTTCTCTTCTTCTTCCAGCAAGGAAAACTGGGATGTGACATATGGAGTCGATGCAGGATGACATATAGCTGCTTGTTTTGTTTGGACCTGAAGCCCAGCTCTGCTACTTTCTCCTTGGCAGCAAAAACCATCTGAATATATCACAGATGACCTACATTTCCTTTTGGCGAATATTCAGTGACACCTTCTCTGTTATTGTGATTTTTATCATTTCATGGGAAAGTTAGAGACTCCTACCGTGCTATTTACTTTAATATTCCCTTTCAGGGCCAGGCACAAATCAAGGACTTGGTACCTAGTATTTAAAGATTTGTGAGGACATAGAGCAATGAGGCAGCTTAATCCTAAACTCTATTATAAGATGGATCTTAATAGCGACCGCTTAAATGCAGGTGTATGTGACTCAAGATCATTGATGCTTCATTAAAGTAGAAAGGAAATGAGATGAGAACCAGGATTTGCATTTGGGGAAACGCGCCACACAGCTACCTGCCTTCATTTTAAGATTCCCAGGGGAGATGCATCACAGACACTTTTCTTACCTTAAGTGTCCCTGGGAAAATGGATGAGATGTACCTGCATTTGAATGTAACTTACCCAGGGAAGCATAACCCCCATGCATTCACCGGACCAAACTGGGAGGTGATGTCTTGGGGGATGTGATTCTTTCACATGTGCCTCTTGGTCAAGAAGTTTCTGTGACAAGACTGATAAAATAACTCCATAGGGAAGAGGAAAGACTGATGTCTGCAAATATGCGAAGAGCTTAGACATTGAGGACTGAGAGAAAATTACTTACTTTGGAACAAGAGGGAATACTAGGAGAAATGGGATGCAACTGAGGGAGCAAAAAAAAAAAAAAGGCTGAATATCAAGAAATGTTTCCTGAAGGTGAGAGTAATGAAATAATTTCCTAAGGGAAGTTGTGGAAGCTCTATTGGTTTGGACATTTAAAGCTAGTTTGAAGGTATCCCCAGAGGACCACATTTAGGAATCAATTCTGCAATGGCAGGGGCATGACTGGTTGACCAAAAGGGTCTTTTGCATCACTGACTTACACAGCTGTATTAACTGAATGATTGCAGCTAGCCAGCCCTTGGGAAGGTGGGGCTCAGTGACACAGAAGAAAAGGAAATCCAACCCGTGTGTGTCTAAAAACCTGTTTTAGCTTGAGGTTAACAACATAACAGGCATTTTTGTGGGTGAGGCAGTTGTTACCTCTGTCTCCACCCAGACAGAAAGCTCTGGCTGGCAGGGGCAAGGAGCAACTACCTTTTTTAGCCAAAAGAAAGGACTAATAAAGTGAAACAACAGGAAAAAACATTTTCACACTCCTTAAAAGCAATGGGATTTTGTGAACTGTCTCTTTAGACTGGAAATGACGGGGTTTGTTTGCTAGAGGAATCCAATCCAGCTGTGAGTCAGATATTTGGGTTTAGAAGAGGAGAAAAAAACAAGGAGAAGGGAGGGACGTGATAGTTTAGAAATAGAGGTAAGTCTTTTTTTCTCTCCAGCCCCACTTCAGCCCAGTGTGCATACACTCGCAGTTGCATGCAAACGCATGCACTTTCAGGGCAAGTTCCAGACTGGAGATGTTTGAGAAGCTGAGCTGAACTCTTAACTCATTTTGTTGCTTGGATTTGTAGAGCTTCTGTGATGCTTGACTGGGCAGACACTTGGAAGTTGGATTTCAAATAAAGCTGGACCTAAGCTGCAAAATACAGGCCTGTATCTGAACTTTCCCAGAGTTTGGAGTTGGTTGAGGCCTAGCTCTAGGTCCTTTAGTAATGTCATGAGTGAATTGTCTTGCTGAAAGAGTTTGCTGCATCCCACACCTTACTTTGTCTACTGTCACACTTGGATCAAGGTGCAGTTTAGAAAACATGCTTCCACAAAGTGCTCTGCTCAGTAAGGAGGCATGGGAGAGGGGAGATATGCATTGACTGCTGGGGGTGATAATGGGGGAAAAGGATCAGAAATTAGCCTGCCGTGATGTTGCCAGCTCACACTATTTGATCACAAGTCTTGTGGTACTTGGCGCTTTTCTTCAAATTTTAGATGCTAGAGGCATGTTCTTGCCTGCCATTTCATCTGTCATTTAAAAAATGTATGTTTGTGTCCTTTGTGGCTATGAAGAAAAGCTATAAAACATGAGCCTTAAACATACCAACATTGGACACCAAGTAAAAAGAACTTATTTTTGTGTAAATATCTTGTTTTTTGGGGGGGTTTAAGTAAATCTAGATTTTTTAAAATACTTACTTGTCAGTCCTGGGACTGGATGTCAGCAGGGACTGTGTAAGGTTGGGCCTGATCTCTCTTCACTTCACATCATCCCATGCTCAGTGTAGCTACACTTTGTGATAACAAAACCAGGTAAAATGGCTGCAGGTTCCAGTTGTTTTTAGGGTAACCCTGTACCCCAAATATTAATATCAGTTCTGCCAGTCTTTGGGCTTCCCTGTCACCAAAACTCATCGACTTTGACCAAACAGTGCATGCGTGTCTCAGTTCAAATGGGCCAGCGCCAGCCGATACTATGCCGCCTCTTCAGCCTGTGCCCTGGGTCATTTATTGATGTGACAGGAAGGACTTAAAAGGAGACAGCATTGTTGGGTCCTGTGCTGGCAGCAGTCAGCAGTGTGCCCCGTTGCTTAGTGCTCATGAGTTTACAGTGAATCTAGAGTCTGAATCCCAAACCTTTCTCTTGTCTAAACAGCCTAGAAGCGCAGCAGTAAGCAATAAATGTGGTCCCCATTCTGGATGGGGGTGGTTGCCTGGGGGCCCACTAGAGCCCACAGTTTTCCAAATATACTGTTTGCGCTAGAGATCTGTGTTTAACGCCCCACTACTCTTGGTGCCTTCTGCCTCTCGGTCCAGCTGCTGTCTCAGGTCAGAAATGAAGCACCTTGGCAGAGCTGCGGGAGGTCAGGACCGGACCAGCAGGGGGAGCTGCGACGCAGGCCTGAAGTGCGCAGGGGAGGTGAAAGTTGGCATGGGGCCTAACTAGATTTCAGCTACTGTGGTCATTTAAAAAAATACTATTTACAAGTGCTGATGTGGTTCCTGCTTATTGAAAAAGAAAGAACAAGTGTGCATAGCCACTGAACAGCTGGACTCTCATCATTACAGTCGCACAGCCTCTTGCACCTGCTCACACCTCTGGGCCTGCTGCTACTCCTTGGGCATTAGCACATGAGGAGACGATGCCCACGTGCTGGGTGTCCCAAGGGGGCAATCTATGGAGAGCTAAAATTCTGCTCACTGCATCCCGTCTTCCAAACCCATCTACCTTTCTTGCCCTGCATCCTATCAAGAGGGTTTTGTGGCTGTCTCTGCTTTCTTTGTCTGCCTTCCAGCCCCTTCTCTCTCCCTTTGCAGCAACTGCAAGGTTCACTTGTGGGTGAAGTAGGAGGGATGGGAGGGAAGCTCAGGGGCTTTTAGTCGTGGCTTTGTACTGCAGGGATCCTCGGCGTCTTGCCTCTCAGCAGAGACAGGAGCCCTATGACGGGTACTTCTGTGCCATCTGTTCAGGGATTCCTTAAGAATCCTGTTGCTAGGATGACACCAGCTCAAAGAGCTACCACAAGCTGTTCCAGGAGCTCGGGGAGTAGTCAGGACCCACAGAGAAAGCTGTCATAGCAACTGGAAGAACAAGGCTGACTTGGTTATGAATCACTCGCCCCTCTTGGGAATTCAGCCCCGGGCCCAGAGCATGAGAATGGTGCAGAAGGGAACCTTGCCCCATGGCAGGGGTAATTTGGGTAATAGGGTGAATTTCACCGCAGGAGGAAAGGAAATGTTTCTGTGGTGAACTGATTAGGAAAAGAAAATAGTGGCTATTTGAGGCTGCCCAGAGCCTTGGGAAGTTAGACTTTGGTCCCTTGGGTGATGAGCTAATGGACAGAGTGCAGGGGAGGCAATACAAAGTGCATGATGAATTGTGCTCCTATTGATTGATGTATTACTTGGCCCTGGGTGTAATTACCAGAGCTGCAGTATGTGCGATATGCCCTTAGGTGCTGAAGCACATGATAAGTGCTGCTGTAAGATCTGGTGTTCTGTTTCCCAGCTGAACAAAGCAGCCTCTTTCAAAGCGAAGCTCGTCTCTGTGGAGAAAGAATCTCCCTGTGTCAGCAGCAGCCAAGGAACGAGGTCCCCAGGGAACAATGGGAAGCGAGAAGAAGATCAGGTCAGTGTCACTCCCATTGTTTCTTACCCTTCAGTGAGTAACTGTGGCCCCTTGTGAAACTGCCTCCTGGATGTCAGTTGCAGCAGCTGGGAGCTAGTGGGCCTGCTCTTCACATCGCTTTGGATGATGGAGTGCAGGAAAACCCAGGTGACTTCTGTGCATTTACAAAGAGTTCAGATTTAATTCATCCAGAAAGGTCCTAAGAGCACCAACAGGCATCTTGGTCCTACTGCTGTTGTTCCAACAACTTCACCATTGGGGTATCATCACCAGTTCAGTGTGTTTGAGCCTGCCTGAGCAGTCCCATGAGTGTGCTGGGCAGTGCCACTCCAGTGAGTTTGTAGATGGAGATGTGGGAGGCATACATGCACACTGAGCTTTTACAGCGTGTGGACTGATGTGCTCAGCTAACCAGTCTGAGAGGGAGTTGCCAACCAAGCAGACTACAGGTTCAGTCTGTTGTTTAGCAACTTTCCCAGCCCACCCTGGGGACTCTGCATTAGACCTGAGTTTCAAGCTCAGGTTAGGCTTAGCTCAAGGTGTGGTAAAACCAGGGCCTTGGTGTCCCTTCTGTCAGTAGTTTGAGCACATGCTACTGAATGGAGTGGGTGTACTTGTCAAACAAACGTATTTGTCAAACAGCCAGCCAGTAGGATAATTAGGAGAAAAGAAGCTGTAAGAGAAAAGATGGTCCCCAGTAGTCAGGGCAGCTGCAAGACTCTTCTGTGTCTGCTACCTAGGACATGGGAAAGCAGCTGTCAATGTCTTGTTCCCATGCCCTGGGAATGAGGCCTTAAGGAACAGAGTCCCCTAAAAAGGGCAAGACCTTGTACAACTTCTCTTGTTGTACAGAGCTGACCTTCAAGCACATATTCACTCTCTTTAATATCCACCTTCCACTGTGAGGGTGCATGCATCTCAAGTGCTCACACTTAGAAGACTGCCCCCACCACCTCCAGCAATGTCCAAGGGCATAAAGGATGGTAAGTGTTTCCTGCTCATCAGTTCCTCTCAACTGCCTTGGCTCCTGCTCTCTGACCCAGACCACATGCTTGACCTATACCCATTTTCTAAACCTGACTTCCTTTTATTCTTTCTCTTCTGATCTTTGAACTCTTTGATAGGATTTTTTTTCTCTCTTCCATCACTTTTTTCTAGTGAGACTGGAAACTCCTCTGGCCTATGTCTATATCCAGGCAAACTAAGTTTTAGCTTTTTCTTCACTTCAATCTGGTATCTCTCTTGACCATTGATGCAACTTCTTCTATATCTCCTGAATTCCTCCAGGGCCCAAGCAAAGTCTGTGGTACCCTATGGTATGTTTCTGTACCTGACATCACCAAGGAGTACCAATTCCAGGTACCTCTACACCAAACAATGTCTCACTTCCAGAGTAGTCACTGCATTTGGTAATGCAGTCTTTTAGTTGGTGTTCATGCAGGATCCTCTGATCCATGTCCAAGTGATCTGTCCACTGCCTTGGAGTCTCCCACAGTGGAATGGGTAAAGCACTTGAAAAGAAAAAGAAGTGTCACCAGGAACAAGAGTTTTTTTTAATGTATTGTCCATAGGCACATTTCATGTCCTGCCTGCCTTTCCTTCTTCCCCAAAGTCCTTGACCCTCTGGGATCCTGCAGTTGGGAGGAACTGAGGACTGAAAGTACAAACTTCTTTCTCTGCCCTTGGCACAGAGCACAGTGTACATGAGATGTTATACAGGCATTGCTAGGAAAGAAGTCGCCAAGTTCACAGGCTTGAAGCACTTGGACAGCTACAGTGAGGATCTGTGTGTATAGACACATCTTCTCAGATAACCCCATGGCTAAGATTTTTTCAAAGCTACCTTGGAGGCTTACTTGAACAGCACTCCTCAAAATGATCAAGGAGACCCCTGGGTCAGCTTTCCAGCTCTCTCTGCTTCACTATCTGTGCTCCTAAGGTACTTACTGGTACCTGGATCCCATTAGCACATCACAGTCTTCAAGGGATTTTTCCTCACAACACTCCAGCAACTCAGGGACATGCTGTTTTTACTTTTTTCCAGGCACAGAGGGTATGTCTACACATGGATTAACACACATTAGTTAATGTGCATTAAATCTAGTACCTCCATTGTGGGGTACTAGGAAAATACTTATTAGCCAATCTTAATGCTCATTAACTAAAAAGAATAGGGTGTCTGTACACAAGCTCAGAGGTGGAGGAGGGGTGCGTTTTAATTAAAGTGGCTCCAAGAAACGCTCTAATTAAAGCGCCTGGAGCATCTCGTGTATTAGCATCCCTGTGCTTCAGAATGGCAGTGGTGGGGCTTTTATCTAAAGTTTGTTCAACAAGCTTTAGATAAAGTCCCCCACCACCATTTTGAAGCACAGGGATGTTGATGTATGAAACGCAGAGGTGGCTGGAGTGTGACAATTACCATGCTCAACCAGATTCAGTTAATTGAGTCTGTTCCCACGTGTTGTAATTACAATGCATCAGAGCAGCCTTTGCACTCATATATAGGCACCCATGGTTTATAGTGATGCTTTGATGCACATTGGCTTATTTTAATGTGCATTAACTACAAAGCATGTTTTTAGCGATGCTTTAACACACAAAATAAGCTAATGTGCATTAAAGTGCATGTGTAGATGTGCCCAGAGAGACTAAGTGACTAACCCAAGGCCGTGCAGAAAATCTGCTGCAAATCAACAATTTAAACCTAAGTCTTCTGCGTCTTGACCCACTGGACCATCCTTCAAAACTTTCTTGGTGGCCATTCAGCAAACATCCCTTTCCCCTCCTGCTCAGGTTTTCTTTATGCAGTTGAAATTTCCATTGCTAGCTCCTCTTCACTCCCTCCTGCGTGTAGCAGCTTAATTAGTGAAATCATCTGGAGAGGGCTGAGCATAAAGGATGGGGCCTATTACTTCACTATTTAAGCAGAAGAGAGCCCAATAGCCAAAATCAGATTTTTCTGCATAAAATTGTGTGTGTACACATAAAGTATCTTGGTGTTCTGTTTTTAAATTGACATTCAGAATTAAGATAGACCTTCCCAGATCTACACGTTTTAGAACAACGTTTAGCTCTTTTCGCTGAGGGTAGGGGTATTTGAGATGCTAAACTTCGGTGCTGAGGAGAGGCATGGAAGCTGAGTAATTGATGATGGGTGCTGCAGACAGTAAAAGCTGTCCGATTGTCTTAGGACTTAAGCTCCTTTTGCATGGCCTTTGTCCCTTCTGAGCTGTCACCCAGGAGAGATTGGGGTGCAATAGGAGAAACAGCTATTGTTTTGATGCAGAGAGTTGCCCTGCTCTGTGTTGCCTGCTGTCTTTCATTTTCCTTTTCCTTTCAGTCTTCCAGCAAAGTTGATCAGTGGAGGAGTGGCTGGGCTGGTGGGGGTCACCTGCGTCTTCCCAATTGATTTGGCGAAAACTCGTCTTCAGAACCAGCAGAGAGAAGGAGTCTATACTGGCATGTATGTGCTCACAGACCACCTCCCCGCCACCTCCAAGGGGAGGTGCTAATGAGTGAATCTGGAACTGCCCCTCAAAAATCTTGAGGGTGGCTGGCATGGAATATTATTTCCTCAGCTGTTCCCCCTATTCATTCCTCAGCCTTGAGGAGCCTCCATGGTCAATACTATTTTCTGTCTCCAGAGCTAAAATATCTTAAGTTCCCAGGGCTTCTGGGTGTATGGAGAAAGAAAATGACTCCTGGAAAGAGCAGGCACCTGTCTTACAGGCTCTGGTCACTAGAGGGTGCAGGGAAACAACAGTAATGATTATTTAAGCTTAAAGAAAGAGTGCTTGTAAGTGCTTCGAAGTGAAGGGCTGTGTGACCACTAGCTGGCTGTGAGATTTGAAAACCTTTTCCTTCAGGTCAGGGTGAATTCCACTGGATGGAATTTTCTCTCCTTACTTAAATCAAGGAGCACATCTGTGAAGGGCCAGCAGCGGGGATGATGCCCAAGAGCAACCAGCATGGTTTCATTAGGGGCAGGTCCGGTCAGACCAACCGGATTGCCTTCTACGATCAGGTCACAAAACCATTGGACGCAGGTGTCACGGTACATGTAGTGTTTCTGGACTTCAGGAAGGCCTGTGACACTGTCTCCCACCCCATTCTCATTAAAAAGCTAGGTAACTGTGGCCTTGATGCCTTCACAGTCAGATGGATTGCAAATTGGCTGAGAGGTCGTACTCAGAGAGTGGTGGTGGATGGGTCATATTTGACCTGGAGGGATGTGGGCAGTGGGGTCCCCCAGGGCTCGGTCCTTGGGCCCGCACTGTTCAATTTCTTTATTAGCGATTTGGATGACGGGGTGAAGAGCAGCCTGTTTAAATTCGCAGACGACACCAAGATTTGGGGTGAGGTGGGCATGCTAGAAGGGAGGGACAGGATACAGCAGGACCTGGACAGGTTACAGGGGTGGGCAAATTAAAATAGGATGGGATTCAATACTGACAAGTGCAGGGTGCTGCACTTAGGCAGTAGGAACCAGCAGCATACCTATAGGCTGGGAACTCCCTTCGCAAAAGCACGGTGGCAGAAAGAGATCTTGGAGTCATTATAGATTCCAAGATGAACATGGGCCGACAATGCGAGAACACGTTCAGTAGGGCTAATCGTACCTTGTCGTGCATCCACAGTAGCATCACAAGCAGGGCCAAAGAGGTGATCCTCCCCCTCTATGCGATGCTGGTCAGGCCGCAGCTGGAGTACTGTGTCCAGTTCTGGGTGCCGCACTTCAGGAGGGATGTGGACAGCATTGAGAGGGTTCAAAGGAGGGCCACCCGCATGATCCGGGGACAGCAGGGCAGACCCTACGAAGAGAGGCTAAGGGACCTTAACCTGTTCAGCCTTCGCAAGAGAAGGCTGAGAGGGGACCTGGTGGCCGTCTATAAACTTACTAGGGGGGACCAACGGGGTTTGGGAGAGACCTTGTTCCCCCGAGCACCTCCTGGAGTAACAAGGAATAATGGCCACAAATTGTTAGAGGGTAGGTTTAGACTAGACATCCAAAGGCACTACTTCACAGTCAGGGCAGCTAGGATGTGGAACCAACTTCCAAGGGAAGTGGTGATGGCTCTTACCCTGGGGGTATTTAAGAGGAGTCTCGACGTTTACCTGGCTGGGGTCATTTGAGCCCAGTTTTCTCTCCTGGCTAGGGCAGGGGGTCAGACTAGAAGATCTACAAGGTCCCTTCTGATCCTACATCTATGAATCTATGAAAACAAAATTAAACCCTCCAGCCCCACCTCTAGCCTTAAAAATCAAAGTCCTCCTCTGCTGCAGGGCAAGAGAAATACTAAAGAGTCAGGGCTGTTTAAATTAGTTTTTGTTAAGTAGAAGTTTCTTGCACAGTTTCCCTGTAAGAAAATTGCTCCACGGTTTTTCTTTGGGAGCCCTGCTAGCCAAGCTGTACAGTAGAGCAGTGGTTCTCAACTGGAGATGGTTATGAAATGTACCCAGGGGATGTCCCAAGGCACTGCACCAATACTTTTCAATCTAAAGCAAAGAATAGCCTACTCCCAGAGGCATAACTGGCCAGCTCCTGTGCATGGGGCAGGACTGGCTGCTGTGCTACTAGTAGCATTGGTGTAGTCAGTTGCCACCTGGAGCTATCATTGTTTATATCTTGAGTCTTATATTTCTAAGCAAAAATTTTTTACTTGAAGAAGGGGCCATAGCACTGGGACAAAGTAGCTGCCTCCTGGCCACAGGTATATCATTATCTTTTTGTATAACCAGGCTGTGTTCTAAAGTGTCCCTGTCCCGTTAAAACGTTGCCAACCACTGCTGTGTTATACATGGAATAGCTCTTCTGTGCCACTTCTGTGGCACAGAACGGCTCTTCTGTGGCACTTCTGTCCATGCCCTATATAGAAAGTACAGCCACGTTGAAACATTACGAGATGTTTGTATATGTCCATGTACCACTGCACTTAGTGGATATGCTAGCCAGCCTCCTCCAAGGGCATGACCACGTTGCCCTTTTATATCTGCTTACAGAGGCAATAAACTGCAGCTGTATTTAAGGTAACAGAGTTGTTGGTAGTGAACCAAAGAATGGTCTTGGGGCAGCTCACCCTGTGTCTGTCTCTCTCTGGTTCTAGGCGGGATTGCCTGGTGAAGACTCTGCGCTCAGAGGGATTCTTCGGCATATACCGAGGTAGTTTCTGTAGGGAATTTAAGGAGCAACTTTCCAATGCATAGTTCCAGCCCCACTGCAGAAGGGCAGACTTCCAGCTGAATGCCTCTCCCCTGCCACTCCGTAATAAAGGCATCCTTTAATTCCAGCCCCACACAAAGACACTGCTTGAATTTGGTAAGCAGGGCTGACAGCTAATGAAAAGGAAAATGCTGGATCCAAAAGGAAGGAAATGATTTGGAGAAAAGCAATGGAAATTATCAGAAGCAAGGCAATATGATAGAGAAATATTAGATAAGGAACAGAAAGGTCAGCTGTTGCTCCGTTTTTTTTTACTTCCCCCTTATAAGAAACCAAAAGACTAACCATTGAAAATGGATAAAAGCACACACCCTGTCACTTTCTACCCAATATACATGTAACGTGAGGAACTCCCTGCTGCAGGGTATTAGTGAGACAACTATCTAAATTCATGCTCGGGACAACATATTTATGCCAATAAGAAGAGCAGATGCAGTTACGCTAGAATAGAAGGAACCAGGAAGGATTTTTTTTCTCTAGAAACAGCATTGTGGTGCTGGGGACTCCTTTCTCTGGCTTGGTTCATTTCTGTAGGTACTATGTTGGAGTAGATAGACACTGACTTCTTGGGTTGTTGCCCATCCCTAAACTCCAGGAGAACTGAGGGTGTAGGAGACCTTCCTATTGTTAGTCTTTGTCTACGGAGATCCTCTCCTGCAAAGTTACAGGGCCTTTTGTGTCTCCTCGGAGACCCTGGCCTGCAGGCTGGTCCCAGCTGTCCCTTCCCAATATTGCAAACATCCCACTGCTTGATGCTCAAACTATTTCATCCCAAGGATCAACAGGAAGCACCGTGTGGAACTACTACTGCTCCACAGGCATTAGTCTGTCAGCACTGCTGTCTGTCAGCACACAGGCTCCCAGGCATTCCCAGCCCTTACCTCCAGGCTGTCTTGCCCCCAAGGCCTGGCTCTGGTTTCCTTGCTGTCTCTTTGGAACTCTCTTCCTCTTCTGCCCTTTTGACCTGTTACTAGCTGAGGCCTCCAAGATACAGTGCACAGGATAATTTCTCTTTACTTCTCACTTGGCCTAATTCAAGGGAGGAGGGCTTTTAATAGATTAGAGTGTGACAGAATTAACCCTTTATTTCCCATTCCCTATCCTTACCTAGGAGCTGCTGTGAACCTGACGCTAGTCACTCCAGAGAAAGCCATCAAGCTGGCTGCTAATGACTTCTTTCGACAGCTGCTCTTACAGGATGAGTATGGAGGAAACATCACTCTCTAAGTTCGGCTTTATGCATGTAAAAAGTTAGTTGAATATGGTTAGGAATGGGGGAGGAGGGAGATGTGGAGGTTTTTGTATGAAGTTATTTGAACAGGCATGTTTAATTTTGTGTTTATGTAGATCTTTATCATTGTGTGAATGTGTAGTTGTGCATGTGTAAAGTCATGCGGGTATGCGTACATATATACAGTATGTGTTGTGTGTGCATGTTTGGTGTGTATATTGTGTGGTGCTTAGGGGAATGTGTCCAGGAATGTTATGGGAATCTTTTGCCTTTCTCTGAAGCATCTGAGACCCAGTATTTAATAGTACAGTAACTAGAATAAGAAGCATAAATGTAAAATCTCATGCTTCAAGACTTAACTTGATCATCTGCTGAGGTCAGGAAAGAGTTTTCTCTCTAGGTACATTATTGCAAAATCAAGAACATGGTCAGGTTTGTTGGTTGTTTTGTGTTTGGGGGG